TGTATGCTGTACAGTGCAGCGAGGAATGCCCAGACCTCTACATTGGAGAGACCAAACAGCCACTTCACAAGCGCATGGCACAACACAGAAGAGCCACCTCCACAGGACAAGACTCAGCAGTCCATCTGCATCTTAAGGATAAAGGACACTCTTTCGAGGATGCCAATGTTCACATTTTGGACAGAGAGGACAGATGGTTTGAAAGAGGAGTGAAAGAAGCCATCTATGTCCACTGTGAGCGACCATCTTTGAACAGAGGCGGGGTTTACGACACCAACTCTCTGCCATCTATAATCCAGTTTTGAGATCCCTTCCCAGACGCCTTAACGCCCACTCACATCCTGGGCCATCTGACCTCAGGAATTCGCATGATAAGGTGGGGCCAGGTTTCACAATGAGCTCACCCGAAACTCTGGCTGATTGGGACCCACACCCAGTTTCACACCTTGGCTCAGGCGATTAGAGGATCATCAGGGGGTCCTTTTGTCCCTCTGTGGGGGGATTACTCCCACTAGGTTTATATCTGGGACTCTCCACCATTTGACCTTAGAACTGAAGAAGCTTCTCGGATGAGAGGTGAAACGTCTTCAAGCAACTTAAAGAAGTCCAGACGCTTTTCTTTGCAAGCTCCTTTGACTAGAACTAGGGCAGGGAGACTTCACAGCTTTGAAACACTCAAGACTGAATAAACAAATTAACTTAGATAACTTAAACAAAACATAAACATCAGAATAATCCAAAACCCAAAAAGCTGGGTCAAAAGATCCAGGATCGTGACAGCCTCAGTACCACATAAACTGCAAGATTAAACTGACTAAACTCACCTGTGCGTTGCCTGGATTGACTACGAGAAAGCCTATGACTCGATGCCCCACTCATGGATCCTGGAATTATACAAGATCAACAGAGCCTTAAGTTCATCAAGAATTCAAAGGGAATGTGTGTTGAACAACACTTGAAACCAACTTCAGGCCAATATCACAAGTCACCATCAAGTGCATGATATACCAAGGAGATGCCCTGTCTCCAATGCTATAAACTGACAATACTGGCTATCAATACTGAATACGGAATGGAGCAATCATCAGCAGTTCAGAAATAAGATCCATTGAGACAGGAGCCTACCACACGAGACATACTCCAGGCGCAGGATGTTTAAAAATGCCCCTGAGACAATCCAGCACATAACAGCAGGGTAGAAGATGCTAGCAGGAAGGGCATACAACACCATAGCCAAGTGACTGGCATAGCATATTAGAAATCTGGAGGTAAAAATGGGACACGTGTTTTTGGCGGTTGAGAATGACCAAACTGAGCTCCTATGAGACTTCCAGATACAGACAGACAAATTGGTGATAGCCAGTTTGTCTTCTGGTGATAAAACTGGTGATAGCTAGTTTGTCTTTTCCACCACTACTATGTGGTGGAAAAGACAAACTAGCTATCACCAGTTTGTCATTATGCAATGTACTGTTTATAAGACTGGGGAAACTTGCAGTCAGCTGAAACTGAAAAAGTCACTTGGATGAGCAACAAAATGTTTCTCCCACTGAAAATGCTAAGTCCAGATGAACAGAATCAACTTTTGGAGATTTACTTACCTGGATGATTGAGCATGCATCAAGATATGGGAGATTGTAAACTGCTAGCAGTTAAGCCAGCCAGCCAGAATGTTGTCTTTGGTTAGAGGAATCTGAACAACATTTAATTATCTGAACAGATTGCAAAAATGTAATTTACCTGAGAGCTGCCAATAGGCTCAATGTTTGCCAAGGCTATTGGTCTCTGTATTTTGGTCGCTTTAATTTCTCCATTTCTGTTTATCCATGTTCCAGAAAGCTCAAACCTGTTCCCGATTCTCCACCAACCCTGACCAACCAGAGCCATAAAACATCCTCCCCTCCAGCTGCAAAGTGGGTTCCCTCATGTGGGACATCGAGGAAATCATCCACCAGAAACTTCTGAATGAGCCAGGCCCCAGTACCAGTCCACCAAATCTACGCTAAGTTCCCACTTCTGCTCTTTCAGCGGTTATTCATTGGGCTCACACTGCCAGGTTCACCTGTAATCCCAGAGTGAGTAGAACCCTTTTTTGATTAAACAGTACTTTTGGTGGAATACTTTTGAAAGAGATGTTAAAGAGTACATAGTCACCTGTTCCATCTGCACACGCAGCAAAAATAGCACCTAGTGTCCTTCAGGTTTCCTCTGGCCACCAGCCACTCCTCACTAACCATGGTCTCACATTGCCATGGACTTTGTTGACAGTTTACCCACTTTCTCTGGAAATATGGTTATCCTCTCCATAACAGACAGATTTTCAGCACACTTTGTTGCCCTCATAAACTACCAACTGCGTCTGAAACTGCCAAATTACTTACTGTTGTTTTCTATCTCTTGGCAATCCTCTAGAA